AGCAACGCCACTGGGTCCTTAGGTGTAGATCCCTATGGGGCCACGAAGCGTGTGAGGGGTGTACCAAAGTGAGGGGTGGCGGTATGCGAACGCAGCCACTGGGGCCTTAGGTGGAGCACCCTCCGGGACTACGAAACGTGGGAGTGGTGTGCCGAAGCAGACACGTGCAAGAGGAGAGAATATGACAGCGATGATGGTGGTGGTGGTGTTGCTGCCGACGACGACGACGGCGACGACGACGATGATTCGGATGGTGATGATGCTCATGATGCGAATGATGATGGTAAAGGTGGTGATGATGTTGGTGATGCTGCTGTTCTTGTTGATGATGATGATGATGATGATGATGATGATGATGATGATGATGATGATGATGATGATGATGATGATGATGATGGTGATAGTGATGACGATGAAGATGGTTACTATGATGACGATGATGATGGTGATGAGGACCTGCGGGGGGGGCAGGGGCGAGGGTGGGAGGAGGGAGGAGGGGGAGGATGAGGCGAGGAGATGAGAGGGGTGATGCGGGGCAACTCAACACACGAGGGTTAGGGAACACACATAGCATATGACAGAATTCTGCCGGAAGGTGAGGTCGGCGCATTTTCTATTGGGGAATAGAACATTCCAGGATTCTCAGGGGGGGGTCGGCGCATGGTGTATTGAAGTCCGAATAGGAGCTACGAACATTGATCGCATTATATTGGAGGCTGGGATCGACAAACGTACGAATTATTCGCTCCCGATTGAAAACGAACACACAACACGTATGGATTTTGCTGGAGTGTGGGATCCGCGCATTTCTTGCTGAGCTCTTACTACAAACAACTCGAACATAAAAAATAGCAGTTCGCTGGGATCGGCGAACGTCCTGTTGGGTTCCAACTGATAGCATAATGTATCAAATAATGTTGTTGGTGGCTGGGGTTGTATTGACATCCTATCCACCTCCGATTGAAAAACGCATTATGCATGTGAATTATGTAGGAGGCTGGGATCGTCGAAGTTCCCATCGACTTCCGAACGCCAGCAAGCCATGCATAGTAAAACGTTTGAATGGTGGTTGAAATCGGTACATTTCCCGTTTGATTTCGACCACAAGTAGTACATCGGATATGAATTAAATATGTTGGCGGCAGGGATCGACGCATCTCTTAGTGGAAGCAAATTGGGGAAAAACAGATGAGCATATCATGCTGTTGGGTGTTGGTGTCGGCGGGCTTTACAATGGATTCTCGATTGAAGAACCTCCGCATGAATTTGGGAATGCAGCAGGAGGCTGAGACTGGCGCGTTTGCAAGGGGATCTCGGTTGAACAGGTACCCGAATTTCAATGATTCCTGCAGGAGGCGAGGGTCGGCAACTCACAGACAACATAACCCTGCAAGAGGCGGGGGTCGGTGCGTTTGGACATGTATACACATTTATCGTCCGTTCACAAGGAGCGCCAGATGCCCCGAAGAAGCGTCCAGGAGGTCCCAGCAGCCGCGGAGGAGGCCCCAGAAGGCCCCGAGAGCCCTCCAAGGGCGCCGCGAAATGAATCAAAACAAATCCACAAGGAAGCCTGAAAGGAATCCTCCGGAAATCAACCAGGAATCCCTCAGGAAGCCTTACAGGAATCCGTGAGAATCCTTCAGGAATCGTCAGGGACCCATCAAAGAATCCTTCGACATCGTCAGCAATTCGTCAGGGAACTCCAGATATCCTTCAGGAATCCCGCAGGAACCCTCAGGAATATCAGGAATCCCTGAGGAATCCCATCGTAATTCCTCCACTTTTTTGGTTTAGGGGAAATCTGTGAACATCTTCAGGACTCCCCAGGAATCGATCAAGAAGCTTTGGAGGAACCCACAGGAGTCCTTCACGAAGCCGATGGGCTGCCTTCTAAGAAGCGCCGCTCAAGCGCGTTCCATGCGCCGATCGGGCGCCTCTGTAGCGCGTGCGCCTGGAAGCTGGAATCAGACAGGTTGGGATCTGGACCGTTCCAGTTTTTGTATTGGTTGGGGTTTGGACCGTCCGGTTGCCATATGGACCTTTCTCGGCGTTGTCTCGCCGTCCCAATCCCAGGGCGCGGCGCGCCCCAGCCCCAGACATGCGTGTCTTGACTCTTTCAGGACGGCGTCCCTGGAAGTTCCGCTACCCTTTCCCCAGGACCGTTCTTTTACGTCCTCAGTGGTTGTCTGACGGTCCCGAGGCCCGGCGAGGGCCCCCCTGTGGCCGAAAAGTGGCAAACATTTCCCGCCTTGATTTTGTTTGACGATTGGAGGCCTGGAAATGGGCACCAACACCAACACAGGGTGTCTGCCTCCATAGGGGGGAGATGATCCCAGATTTCGGTGTTGGTGGTAATACTTCGGCCACCTCGGAAGCCAGAAGATGTCCACCATCACCGAGATCGGGATCGTCTTCCCTCGGTGGAGGCGCACCGCCGATCTTGGTGTTGGTGTCGACCTGTAGGCCTGCGACCTTCGGGGCCCCAGGGGGGCCCCTGGGTTGGCGACAAAGAATCGGGAGCGGAAACGAGGGGGGTGATGACTAGGGGGGGGTATATATCATGGCGCGGGCCATGATTTTTCCCCAGATTTCTGGGCGCCTCTTCTTGTTTTATTACGTCCCTGGCCCCCCCGCTGGGCCGCGCACATGCCGCCGGGCATGATTTGCACCCCCCCCCTCTTGGACACCCCCCTCTTGGCCGCTCCCGAAAGAAGGGGGGGGGGAGAGCAACGTGCTCCTGTGGGGCCGCAGGGGGGCCCTTTGGGGGGGCGAGGAGCGAGGTCCGGCCGACAAAAAGACAGGCGACACCACCCCGCCTACTACTGCGCTACGGCCCATCTGGGGCCGTCGCGTATACAGTGCAAAAACCCTGCGCCAGATGTCCTGGCATACGCTGCGGCTCGTGGGGCCGTAGGCGGGGTGGTGTCGTTTGTTTTTTGGTGCATACGGGGGGGGGGGGGGGGGATAGGCGTGCCCCTTTGGGGCCCCAGGGGGGGGCCCTTCACGGCCCCCTCATGATATCGCGCGGAAGATCAATCTTGGGGAGGCTTGTCCAAGGGGCGTTGTCTTGCATGGGGAGTTGTCCGGATCCCCGCTGGGTTGTCTCAGCGGTCGTCCGGGGCAGGTCGTTTTGTCGTCATGAATCCGCATGGGTTGTCTGGATTGTCCTGGGGTGGGCCGGGGAGGGTTTGAGGTTTCTTTTCTCGGGGGCCTCGAGACGGGGGTCAGTGCAAACGGGGGTCAGCCACGGCGCCAGATCCTGCAGGATCCTGCAAAGACCCCCTCTGGCTGACCCGGGTCAGGGAGCCGCTCGTGGCCGCGAGGCGGCCGCGCCCATTGGCTGACCCGGGTTTGCGAGGACCTGCGTTGCAGTTTTTTTTCCCTGCATTGCAGTTTTTGGTTTCCTGCTGACCCGGGTCTGGATTGACCAGGGTCAGAAGATCCCCGATTTTCGATTGGATTTTCGATGCGCCTATACACCTCAGTAGGGCACAAGAGGTGAATTTGTCTTCACCCCCCGGCATCAGTTGCCCCCCACTTTCGGAATCAATTCTTGTGAGGTCAAATTCTGATTTTGCCCTTGTTCGAAATTTGGCCTCATCCGGCTTAATCGGCTCAATCCCGTTTCATTCGGTTTAATCTGGCTTGATCCCGCTTGATCCGAGGCCCAATCTAGCGCATCAGCCCCACATTGGGGTTCAATCACCAGTAATTTTTCCGACGACCTGCCAGTGGTTGCCTCCTAGTCCACCAATGACGCAACGCCCGACCCTGGGCTCGGCGGCACCCCGGCATGCTGTACACACTAATGCTATGTGCGCGTCGCCCCTCCTCCAGGGGCGACGCGCGCACCGAGAAATCTTATAGTAGATTCGTCGTGGTGGGCGCTCTCTGGCCGTACCGCTCGGGAAGCGATATGCTACAAGATGGTTATATTATATGTTCGGGTCGGACGCACGCCTCCGAGGAGGCGAGGAGGACCTAGTACTTGTATTAAGTCGGGCCTGTCCCTCTACAGGAGGAGTATTCAAAACTAGCAAACAGTAGCCTGGAGACAACGTTTCTGGACTATTGTTGAACATGTTGAGCGTATGTGTTTCAACTTTGTTGTATCTGTCGTCCAACACCTTCCTGCAGGGGGGCACGTCCGACTTATTGTTAGTCCGAGCATGTTCTTTGGGTGGAGGGCAAAGGGTGAAATCTGATATGCGCAGCTTCGATCGGTGTTCGAGGCTCGCATCTGCACAAAGGTGAATCACAAGACGGATCGATTCTCGAGGCGCGAAAGCCGATATATGGTAGGATTCCTCGGGCCCCCACCCCCCCCCAGATGGTATGGTCCCAGAGACGACGACGACGACGACGACGACGACGACGACGACGACGACGACGGCGACGGCGACGGCGACGGCGACGGCGACGGCGACGGCGACGGCGACGGCGACGGCGACGGCGACGGCGACGGCGACGGCGACGACGCGACGACGACGACGACGACGACGACGACGACGACGACGACGACGACTGCGGTGGCGACGACGCCAGCGGCGGCGGCGACGACGACGATGACGACGATGACGACGACGACGACGACGACGACGACGACGACGACGACGACGACGACGACGACGAGGACGACGAGGACGACGAGGACGACGAGGACGACGACGACGACGACGACTCTGAACCACCACAGCACCACACCACATCCACAGGGGGGGGGAGGGGGGCACCGCAGCGCAGCACCACGCCACGCCCACCTCTGAACCACCACAGCACCACACCACATCCACAGGGGGGGGGGGCACCGCAGCGCAGCACCACGCCACGCCCACAGGGGGGGGCGGGGGGGACCATCGCGCGGGGGGGGGGGGCAATGGCATCAGCATGGGGGGGGGGCCAAGCCCTGGACCACATATGCATTCCACCCCGAGCCCTCCACCCTCAGAAACTGCTCGGGCAGTATGTCGTTGTGCGCCCCGTGGGCCTCGCAAACGGAGGACGTGATGCAGCGGCTGGAGGCGCCGAGCGCCTAGGCCGCGCGCCCTCGGGCAGCAGAGGCAGCGACAGCGCAGGGCGGCGCTGCGCTGAGCGGCCCTGCCTGCGGCGGCTCCGCCTGCGGGCGCGCGCGCCTCGGCGCGGCCTCCGCGTCGCCTCGGGGAGGGGGACGCGTGGGCTTCGAGCAGGCGGGGGGGCGAGGGGGAGGGGCAGGCCGAGAAGGAGGAGGGAGGAGGAGAGGGCGAGGAAAGCGAAGGGAGGAGCAGCTGGAGGGAGGAGGAGGAGGAGGAGAAGGAGGAGGAGGAGGAGAGGAGGAGGAGGAGGAGGAGGAGGAGGAGGAGGAGGAGGAGGAGGAGGAGGAGGGGGGGGAGGAGGGGAGTAGAAGGAGGAGGAGGAGGAGGAGGAGGAGGAGGAGAGGAGGAGGAGGAGGAGGAGGGGGAGATGTAGGACAAGGAGGACGGCGATGTGCGATGTGGGCTCAGGAGAAGGAGGAGGAGAGGAAAGAGAACGGAATAGGGAGGTCAGAGTTGGGAGTGAGGAGAAATATGATGGGGATGCGGAGCAGGAATGAGGTGGGAGTGAGGAGAAAGATGGGGGGAGGAGGAAATGGGAAGAGCTGTGCAGATGGGGCCACCCCCGTGGGCCACCAAGGTTGTATTGGCGAGCTCGTGCCTCCAGCCTGCCTCGGGCACTGAGCCTGGAGGCGAACTCGGACGCGTCGTCCGTACGGCGATTGTGAATAGCACCCTCGACAGCGCCCTGATCTGTTTGCCATTCGGCCGACTTCTGTGTAGAAACCTCGCGCCGCTGCGCACTCCGAGGCTCCTGTGAGGACGAATAGGAAAAACGCGGCGAACGGCAGTGCCGCACCTGCGGCCACCCTGCTGGCCCTCGTCGTCGAGAAACGTGGGCTGCATGGGGCCTCGTGCTGCCTCTCCTCCCGTCCCTGTCTCCCAGGGCCCACACTGCTTCGAGCATCCGATTCGACGCCGCCTGGCCAGCCCGATCCGAGTGGACTCCGACATGCCACAGCGATCCGAGGCGGCCTGGTGCTCGCATGACGCTGTCGCGCATCCCGGCGCGGCCGGTCCGATTCGGCTCCGGTCTTGTGCCGACGCGTCTCGATCCGATGCACGTTTAGATTCGACCCGACATCCCGATTCTATGATGATTGATTCTGCCTTCTCAGCCTCTTGCTCAGCACATTCCGCCTCGGCTTCGTCCTTCTGCACCTCCTCTTTCTCCTTTCTCATCGTCCCCCTTCCCGGTGACCACGCGGCTCCTGCAGATGCTTGCTGCGACGAGGCCCGTCTAGGATGAGAACGAAGAGGAGGAGGAGGAGGAGGAGGAGGAGGAGGAGGAGGAGCATGGTAGAAGATGAAGACGAGGAGCGAGGAGGAGAAGGATGAGGAGGAGGAGGAGGAGGAGGAGGAGGAGGAGGAGGAGGAGGAGGAGCGAGGAGGAAGAGAAGGAGGAGCAGGAGGAGGAGGAGGAGAAGGAGAGGACGAGGAAGGCGAAGGGAGAAGCAGGAGAAAGGAGGAGGACGAGGTGGAGGAGGATGTGGATGAGGAGGTTGAGGAGGAGGAGGAGGAGGAGGAGGAGGACCAGTGTAAACCCAAGAGCCATCAACGATGTTGGAATACACCCTCCCTCCAAGCTCCCTCTTCATAGGCCCCTACACTGGTAGAGCAATGAGCATTCGCCCGCGTGTCAGCACAAGGTAACGCCAAGTTCAAGCTCCGATGAGCATATCAATATCGCGCTATTCGGATACAGTTCCGCGAGCCTCGCGGTGGTTTCTTAGGGCCGTTTGGGGGGTTCTTGGGGGCATCTTGGGGGCCTCTTGGGGGCCTCTTTGGGGCCTCTTGGAATCTCGTGGGGGCCTCTTGGGCCGTCTTGAGGCGCCCTGGCGCCGTCTGGGGGCCTCTCAGGACAGCCTTGTGGCTCTCTTGTGGTCCTCTTGGGCCGTCTCGGGGGCCTCTTGAGCTGTCTTGCAGGCGTCGTTGGGCCATCTTGGGGCCCTCTTGGGCCATCTTGGGGCACTCTTGGGGGCTTCTGCGGCCGTCTTGGGGCCCATCTTGGATGCTGCGGCCGTCACGGGCCTCTGAGAGTCGAAAGAAGAAGGCGAGAACGATAACATTATCTTAAAACATTCTAGAGAATCCATGATTTGGGACTCTGGAGGCGCTCTTGGGGACCCTCTTGGGCCGTCTGGAAAGCTTTTTGGGCCCTCCTGGGGCCACATTGGACTGTAATGGGGCCGTCTTGGCCCGTGTTGAGGCCATCTTGAGCCGTCTTGACGCCTTCTTAGGCCCCTAGGAGGCGTCAACGGGACCAAATCATCGATTCCCCATAAGTTTTCCACGGTTTTGAGGCCCAGAAGGGTGGGGGGCCATCCTGGTCGGCGGAAGTGGCGTGGCCAGTACCTACCAATATGTAGGTAGAAACGATGCAATCATTGGATACACAGGATACGAACATTCCAGAAGGCGCGGACCTGTCTTCGGCCACACGTCACTTCCGGACGTGGATTCAACAGGCTTACGCTACGATTCGCGACCCAATGATTCGGCCTGGGCCGTTTTCGGCTGCGCCGCGGTTGACATTGTCGAACGCGCGGGTGGCCCAGTCGGGTTGGGGCATCCGGCTACCTCGCAGCTCTTTTGACAGATACCCCATGGGAAGGGGAAATTGGATGGACGGAAAGCTATATGCCTCACACGCGTCATCGCTCCTGGCAGGGGCGGGCAAGCGAAAGCGGTCCTCAGCCTAGCAGCGCGCACGTTAGCTGCCATGCAATACGGCACCTTCGCGCGAGGTTCCATCCGCGTTTGTCTGCTTGACCTTGTCGGTTTTCCCCTTTCGGATCGCACACATCTTGGGGACCTGGCGTGGGGCCCTGGACCTCTTGGCGCCATCCTGGGGACAGCTTCCTCGGCCCTGAGCTTTCTCTGATGGCCCTGGGACCCGACACGGGCCTGCAGATGCTTCAAACGTGGACAGGGCCGCAGACAGGTTCCCTGGGGGACGCTCCGGGACCCGGAGCACTTGGCAGCGAAACGGGGGCAACGGCATCGGAGAAGGACATGCAAGAGAGTTGTGCGTGCAGATTGCGCAGAGCGGGGCACAACCGCGAGGGGAGCGGCGGCTGCGGCGAAACGGTTGGAGTAAGAGCTCACGCGCGAGGTGTGCAGCAAACAATTCCCCAGGCAGGAACAGACATCAACCGTCAGGATGAGACGGAGCATTCCACGAGAGAAGCGCAACAGCATGCGCAAGAAAGCATGTATATATACACATATGCAGAGAGAGAGAGAGAGAGTTCGGGCTCACGGTGCGCAGGTGTGAATCGCACGAGTGTTCGAGCACATGCGGGACGATGTCTCCGAAGCCCAAGTTCACGTTTGTGGAGAAACGCAGCTTCGCACGTGCGAAAACAATGGCACGTTGAAGCGCAAGCCGTACACAGGATTCGCGTAGTTCTTGTCACAGAAGGGGCAAAGTCGCAGTTGGCAACTGTCGACGCGTTGCAGGCCCGTGGAGGTCGACGAGGGATGAGGGGCGAAGGAGGGTTAACAAGGGAAAGAGGAGGCTGCTATGAACGATGTGTTGCGAAGGAGGAGAGGATCACCACGAAGAAGTACGAGGATGGGGAGCAGGGCGATGAGGAAGGCAGGAGAAGGATAACGAGAAGGCGTTAGAAGAGACAACGGGAAATCACGAGGGGGGGAAGCAGGCGCGAGAGGATAGGCGGTCGATCGAAGACGCCCACGGCAAGTCACCGCCGCCCCTTGCCTTTCTTGAAAGCGCCCATGTGGCCGAACGTTGTGGCCAGAGCTCAGCCGAACTATCGGACCATCTGTTCCCCCAGCCGTTGTGGAAACCCTCCGGGGAACACGCGAGGGATAAAGAAGAGGAGGAGGAGGAGAGCGAGGGAAAAGGGAGGAGGAGGCCTCTTGGGAGCCTTTTGGAGCACTCTTCCAAGGTTTCCTGGGGGCCTCTTGGAAGCCTCTTGGGGGCCTCTTCGGTCCTACTGGGGGCCTTCGGGGGTTTCTTGGTGGCCCCGTTGTCCGTCGTAGGGCGTTCCTGGCCCGTCTGACGCCGTCGGAAGCCGTTTCAGGTGCCACTCTTGGCCGTCGTGGGGCTTTATTGGGGCGCTTCAGAGCTTTCTTGTAGGCCATCGTGGGGGTCTTGGGAGCCTCTTGTGCCATCTTGGGGCCGTCTTGGCTGCATCTTGGGCCGTCATGGGGCCATACTGAAGGCCACTTGGGCAGTCTGAGGGGAGGCGATGTGTGGGGCCTCTTGGGCGTTCCGGGGGCGATAGTTGCAGGCCTTTTGGGCCGCCTTGGACAGCCGACAGGCCGAACAAAAGCAAATGCAACAAATTCCGTCAAAAACATGCAGCAAAGCAATACGTATTGTTTGCTCGGGCATTCCTGGAGGACCTCTTGGAGGCCTCTTGGGCTCTTGGAAGCCCCTCGGGCCGTCTTGGGCCATCTTGAGGCCTGCATGGTGGGCCGTCTTGGCCGTCTTGGAGACCATCTTGGCAGTCTCGGAGTGCGCGCGCTGGCTGGCGCTGGCTGGCGGGGGGGTGGAGCGCAGAGCCGGCGCCGTGCCGATACAGAGGGGTGGGGAAGGAGGGGGCGCGCTGGCCGGTGTGGGAGAGGAGGCGTCGGGAGCCTTGAGGCGGGGGTCAATATGCAAACGGGGGTCAGCCAGAGCGCCCGATCTTGCAGGATCCTGCAAGGCCAGGGTCGCATTGACACATGATGCTTGGGTGCAGGACAAGATCCGTCGCATTGACCCCGTCTTGGGCGCAGGATCTTGCAGGATCATGCAGGGTTCTGCAAGGCCTGACTGACCTGGGTCTGGATTGACCTGGGTTGGAAGATCCCCGGAGGTGGGCTGGCTGCGGACATGGAGGGGGGCCTTGCCGTGCCGAAAGAAGGTGTCAGGGCGGAGAGAGCGCGCTGGCGGCTGTGGAGGAGGGCAGAGGGGGGACCGGTGCCGTGCCGATGAAAAGGGGTCGGGGCGGAGGGGGCACGTTGGCTGGCAGAGGAGGGCGGGGTGGGGGGGGTAGGGCGGGCGGAGGGGGGCGGCGGGAAGGGCGGCGGGGCTGCTTAGACCCCCGGGAGTGGGCATGTGTGGGCACAGTGGGCCGACCCCGCCAGTCCTCCAGAGGCGAGAAGGCCCCAGGTGGAAACACAGCGCGTGCCATGCTCAAAACGTACGGGGTCAAGACGTTACGCGCCCGCTTCCACACGTGGGCTTATGTTCTGGCGAGTATATACAACCAGGCACATGGTCTGCATCTACGCCGAGCCGCGTGTCAAACGTTCATGGCTGCGTGTTGCGTGCAGGGGCAGACAAGGGCCACGGGCTCAAGATGGCATCCGAGTCTGCCGAAGCTGGGCCCACGACAGCTCGAAAGGGCCCCGAAGAGGCATTACATATTATAGGTCATTCCGATGTTTTCATGTGTTCACTTTTCTGGCCGGTAGAATGCCCATGACGGGCCGAGAGGCCCGTGTTGCTTCAAGCCATCTTGACCCGAGCCTCTGGCTCATGTCGGTTCAGGGGTCGCATTGAATGTTAGGCGCTTGGCGAGGATCTAGATCAGACAGCCCTCGCTTCGAAGCGGCCATAAAGAAGTCTGGTAGGACAAACAATTGGAGAGAAGCGCTGCAACTGTTCTGCGAGGTATCCAACGCATGCGTGAAATACAGCCATGGCTGTTACCTTGCCGCTATCAGCGCGTGCGCAAAAGGAAAGCAGTGGCAGCAAGCCCTGTCGCTGGTCAGCGAGATGTGGGGGTCGAAGTTGGAGCCCACCGTCATCAGCTACGGTGCTGGGATCAGCGCGTGTGAGAAAGGTCAGCAGTGGCAGCCAGCCCTGTCGCTGCTCAGCCAGATTGTCGAGACAACATTGGAGCCCGACACCATCATCTACAACGCTGGCTTACGGCGGCTCCAAGACGCTCCAGAGGCCAGCCACCCGGACGACCCCAGGGGCGCTCCGAGCCACTCAAGAGGACGCTCCGACGGCCCCAAAGGCCCCGAGGGTAGGCCAGGAGCCTCCGAAGACGGTCCTCAAGGCCAGGACAGACCCGAGACGCAAAAGTCGTCCCATTCTTCCGGGAAACTGAGTGTTTTGAGAGTCTTGTGCTTTTCGTCTCCGACGCGTCTACGACGGCCACAGAGATCCCCAAGACCGCCCCAAAGTGCCCCCATCAGAGCCCCAAGACGGGCCCAGGACGGCCGAATATGTACGTGGTCGCCTTCATCCCAGCTTCGTCGTCATGGCTTTTCTGGAACCGGTGCCCGAGGACCGCTTTCGAGCCCTGGGGCCGCCAGACCAGGATCCAGGATCACAAAGGCGAACCGCGGGATGTGTTGCTCCCATCGTACTTAAGGACCACATCCTAGAGATAATTTCGAGCGTCCCAAAAAGTGTCGAAACGGTGCCAAGCGAGTATCGCCTCCCAGGGCCCGACACGTGAAAACCCACAAGTTGGGGTACTTTCGTGGTGCTCGAAATTCTTTCTGGTGGTCGAGGCTAAAGTAGGCTGGGGCATCATAAACCGCGGGATCATCCTGCAGGGGCGCCGTGCGCCCGAGGGACCTCCCCGCAAGGCGCTCCGTCTCTCTCTCTCGCCGCCGCCGACGTCAGCGTCCCCGTCGGGCGGCGCCGCCGGGCGCTGCAGAGCGTGCTGGTGCCGCTCGGGGCGCTGCTGCTGCAGGGGCTAACTTCCATGTGGATCACTGGCCTTTCGGCAGCATTCCCGCCGCTCCCCCCGAGAGTACACTCGGCCAGATGTCGTGGACGGAGTCCACGGGGCAGCCCCAGTCAGTTGCAGTGCTGGGATCAGCGCGTGCGAGAAGGGTCAGCAGTGGCAGCCGGCCCTGTCGCTGCTCAGCCAGATGGTCGAGACGAAATTGGAGTCCGACGCTATCTATACTACAATACCGGGCATTGCGCGTGCGAGAAGGGCGAGCGATGGTCACCCGCGGCGGCGCCCCGAGGGGTGACGCCGGCCCGGCCCGGGACAGCCCGGGGCGGCCCATGAGGGCTCCGACGCGGAGGCCTCGAGAGTCTCCCGGAAGCTCCCCAGCGAGCCCGAGAGGGCCCCAGGACGGGCTCGGAGGCCCCCCGCGAGTTTCTGCGGAGCTCCCAGGGGACCCTCACGAGGGCCCCGAGGCCGCAAAACTATCGATATTCTCAAGGGTCTTTGACGTTTCTGGTGGTGCTCCTCCCGCCCCAAGGCGCCCACCACGGCACCGCGGGTCCGAAATCGGGCCCATGATGCCCGGGGGGCCTCCGAGAGAGTCCCCAAGAAGGCCCCATGAGGCCCCAGCTCTCGGGGCCCCCAAGACGGCCCAAGAACCTTCCGGACGGCCCCAAAGGGACGCCCGAGCGGGTCCAGTTCGGAGCGCTTCCCCACCTTCCGGGCCCCTCCACGGCCCACGGCTCCAAGACGCCCCCGAGAGGCGCCCAGAAGGCCCAGGAGGCGCCCCCAAGAGGCCCCCCGGGCGCTCTCCGGAGGCTCCCAGAAGGCTTCAGAGGCGCTCCCAAAAGCTCTCACAGCCGAGAGCGCGGCCGCCCCCACCCCAACAGCGTGGCCCCTTCGCGGGTTCCTCAGGTCACGTCGGCCCATCCACCCTTGCGCAGCCAGCGTGCCCTGGGCCTTCCTGCTCAGGGGACGCCCAAGCGGGTCCAGTTCGGAGCGCTTCCCCCCCCTCCGGACCCCTCCACAGCCAGCAAGGTTCCAAGACGCCCCCGAGAGGCCCCCAGAAGGCCCAGGAGGCGCTCCCAAGAGGCCCCCGGGCGCTCTCCGGAGGCTCCCAGAAGGCTTCAGAGCCGCTCCCAAGAGCTCTCACAGCCGAGAGCGTGGCCGCCTCCACCCCGTTACTCAGGACACGTCGGCCCATCCACCCTTGCGCAGCCAGCGTGCCCTGGGCCTTCCTGCTCCAGAGCATCGCCCCTGATTTGAAAAATCCACACCCCACGCCTCTTGGGACACGCATCGCCTGGGAGGGGATGCAAAAAAGCCCTGCTTGGACCACCCGCAGACGTCCCAGGCCCCCTTCCTGAGCACCCCTCCCGCACGGAGTGTGTCCCAAGAGGTGTGGGGTACGGTTTTCTCCATGCCAAACGCGCGCTCCCCCTCGCCTTCCTCCTCCCCGCCCCTTGCTCGCGCCCCCTCTGTTCCTGCGGCTGCTGTTGCTGCCCCTGCTGCTGCTGCTGATGCTGCTGCTGCTGCTGCTGCTGCTGCTGCCGTTGCTCTCCCTCCGCCTCGTGCTGCTGCGCCTGTTGGACCCCGCCGCCCCTCCATCCCTGCTCCCCCCTGCCTCTCTATCCCCGTCCTGCCCTTCCCACTTCTCTGGGCCTTCTCTCCGCTGGCCGCCAACCTCGCCGCCTGCCATCACTGCTGCTGCTGCTGCTGCTGCTGCTGCTGCTGCTGCTGCTGCTGCTGCTGCTAGCGCTGCTCCAGACGCCGTCAGGATCAACAAGCAAACAGCGCACCCTGAAGCAATAAGCAGCAACAAGCGCACGCTCAATCCTCTGGCATTCGTGGACGGCAGCCCACGGGTCAACCTTAGTCATCATCTACAACGCTGGGATCAGCGCGTGCGGGAAGGGCGAGCAGTGGGAGCGGGCTTTGGCGCTGTTGGGGGAAATGTGTAAGGCGAAGCTGGTGCCCTGCGTTATCAGCTACAGCGCCGGGATCAGCGCGAGTGACAAAGGCAAGCAGTGGCAGCGGGCGCTTGTTTTGCTGAGCGAGATGTGGGAGGCGAAGCTGAAGCCCGACGTCATCTCTTCTACAATGCAGCGATCTTTGCGTGCCAGAAGGTCCTCTGTCCCGAAAGACTGGCCGGGCCCTCCGGGCCGCCCTGCGAGCCCCCGGGCCGCTCCGAGACGGCTCAGAGACTTCCACGAGGGCGCCCGGACAGACCAAGAGGGACCCAACCGAGCCCCAGGTCGGCCCCAGAGGCCTCCAAGGCAGGCCAGAAGGCTCCCAAGGCGGCCCAGGAGGCCCCCAGGAGGGACCCCAGATGCAAAAATTGCACCATTCCTTTTGTAAAACGTGCGTTTTTGATATGCTCGCTCTTTTCGTCTTCACCGCGTCCAAGACGGCTTTACAGGCCCCCAGCTCGCCCCAAGACGCCCCCAGAGCAACCCAGGAGGGCCCCCAAACGGCTCGAGGCGGCCCCGGGACGGCTCCCACCCAAGACAGCCCCAAGAGCAGTTCATAATACCCCACGGGACGGCTCCGAGAGGCTCCAGGGGGCGCCAAGACGGCCTCAGAGCACCCTTTGGAGCCCCAAGACAGCCCCAGGGGCTCCCAAGGCAGGCCAGGAGGCTCCCAAGATGGCCCAGGAGGGCCTCCAGGAGAGCCCCAGGAGGCCAAAATCGTCACATTCCCGACGGGAAACGCACATTTTCATTATATCTGCCATGCAGCCCCCCCAGCTCGCCCCAAGACGCGCCCAGAGACCCCGAGGAGGGCCCCCAAATGGCTACACACGGCCCCGGAACGGCTCCAGAGGCACCCGAGATGGCCCAAGACGCACCCAAGACAGCTTCAGAGCACCCCTGGGAGCCCCAGGACAGCCTCAGAGGCCGCCAAGGCCAGGAGGCTCCCAAGATGGCTTAGAAGGGCCTCCAGCAGAGCCCCAAGATGCCCAAATTGTCCCATTCCCCGACGGGAAACGCGCATGTTCACTATATCTTGTTTTTTCGTCCTCGCAGCGCCCAAGACGGCTACTCAGGCCCCCAGCTCGCCCCAAGACACGCTCAGAGGCCCCCAGGGGGGCTCCCCAAAAGCTCCACAGACGGCACAAGACGCACGCAAAACAGCCCCAAGAGCAGTTCCTTTTTTGCCCTAGACGGCCCCAGCGCCCCGTCTCCAAGACGGTTGTGCAGGCTCCCACCGCCCCGTCTCCAAACTTTTCCATTTGCACAGTCTCCCAGACGACTGTACAGTCCCCCAGATCGCCCCACCCAAAACGGCCCGAGACGGCCCCGGGACGGCTCCAGAAGCGCCCGAGACAGCCCAAGAAACATCCAAGACAGCCCCAAGAGCGCCCAAGATCGGCCCACGATGTCCCCAAGACGGCCTCAAGATGGTCCGAGAGGCGCCCGAGACGGCCCCACATCGCCCAAAGACAGCCCAAGAGGCATTCAAGACGGCCCAAGAGGGTCCCGAGAGACCCCCAGGAGGACGAAAAGAGGCCCTTAAACGGCCCCCAAGAGGCCTTGGATCCTTCTCTCTTGGGGAGCGTCGAACTTCCAGCGTCGTCTAGTGGGCTTCTTGGACCCTCTGGGAGCCATCTCCGCGCCTTCGGGGGGACGTCTTGGGGCGGTGCGCTCGAAAGGCCGATTCGTGTCCTCGCACTGGGCCCGACTTAGGGAGTTCGTGGGGCCCTCTGTGGCCGTTTAAGAAGCCTCGTCGCCCGTCCTGGAGACCGTTTGGGCCGTCGCGCCGCTCTCTTGCGGGCCTCTTAGGCCGCGCCCACCGGCCCCATTTTCACCATACTACCAGATAGAATTATCATTCGGCCCCGACGAGGAGCAGATACAAGTATCACGGCTACCCTCCCCGCAGAAGCTATGATGAACATATACTGGGGCGTGAAAAACAGCTTCTGTCCACACCATGTCATGCCTGCATGGGTGTGCTTCCACTGACAGCAGCTCTACCATCGCGTTCCTGCCTTCAGGCCTGCTTGCCTGCATCCCTCGCCCACCTCCCCCTCCAGCGGCCACCGCCTCCATCCACACCGTCTCCTCCAACCTCCCCTCGCCTGCGAGGCCCCGGAGACGCTCCACTTCCACATGGCGGGCAGATTCCGCGGCCAGTCAGCTACAACGCTGGGATCAGCGCGTGCGAGAAGGGCGAGCAGTGGCAGCGGGCTTTAGCGCTGATGGGGGAGATGTATAAGGCGAAGGTGGAGCCCGACGTCATCTCTCCTACATGGCCGGGGGAAGCGCGTGCCGGAAGGGAAACAAGTATCCAAAATCGGCCTCGGCGGGCCCCTGGCGCCGGCGGGCCCCTGGCGCCCCTGGCGCGGCCCGGCGTGCCTCCGGGCGGCTCGAGCACGCTTCGGGACGCCGTGAGGGAGCGCCGAGATCGGGCCAACAGTCCCAACATGGCCCCAGGACGGCCCCAGAGGCCGTCCAGACGGCTCGCGGCGGCCAAACATTAGTTATGTGTTATGGTTTTTGTTTGGTTTTCAGGTTCTTGCGATTTCGAGCCAAGAGCGGCGTAAGACGGCTCTTGGGGCCTCCCGAACGGTCCAAGGCCGCCCAAGAGTTCCGGCAAGGGCCCGAAGACGAGACGGCTCCCGCAAGAGCCCAAGACGGCCCAAGAGAGCCCCAAGACGGCCCGAGAGAGCCACCAGGAGCCCCTAAACGTGCCCCCAAGAGCCTCCCAAGAGGGATCACAGAGAGCTCCGAGACAGCCCAAGAGCTCCAGCATGGCCCCAAGACGGCCCAATAGGCCGCGGAGACGGCTCGCGGCGGCCAAAAATCATTTATTTCTCACAAGGGTTTTTCCCAACCATCCTGTGGTGTTGGGTCCTCGTTTTGAAGAGACAGCGCCCCGTGTTCCTCTCCTCTCCTCTCCTCCTCGTCCTCGTACTGCTCCTCCTCCTCCTCCTCCTCCTCCTCCTCCTCCTCCTTTCCGTAGCCATTTTGGCTCAAGCCGTTCTGCCTCGAGCCGCCGTGCCCGACCGTTTTTTCTGTTGCCCGCGCGCCCCTCGGCAGCCGCTGCTGGAGCCATGGCCCCCCCGAGCGCCGCCCGCCGCCCCGCCCTGGCGGCGGGCGACATCGACGACGCCATCGCCAAGTTCAACGAGGCGACCAGCCGCCTGGCAGAGGCGGAGAAGGCCCAGGCACAGGCCAACGAGGTGATCGCGGAGATCAACGCGAGCATCGACAAGGACAAGGCCGAGTTCGAGGCCTCCCTGAAGGCCAACATGGAGAACACGCTC